ACACCCAGGATCCGACCTGGTGAAACCCTGGGCTGCTGAAGCTGGGCGTGTGAACTTAACCACTCGACCATGGGGCCGGCCCCATAGGTAAATGTTTTGAATTGTTATATTTTCTTGTTGTATTGAACATTTTATCAACCTATAATGTCCTTCTTTGTCTCTTCCTACAGTTTTTGACTGAAAGTCTAATTTGTCTGATATTAATATAGCCACCCCAGATGTCTTTTGATTACTTTTTGCATGGAATATCTTTTTCTGTCCTTTTACTTTCAACTTATTTGTGTATTTGGATCTGGATTGAGTATCATGTAGACAGAATATAGTTGGATCATGGTTCTTTTTTTTTTTGGTCACTGAGGATGATTTGACCTGAGCTAACCTCTGTGCCAATCTTCCTCTATTTTTTAGCATGTGGGCCACCAGCACAGCATGGCCACTAACAGAGTGGTGTAGGTCCATGCCTGGGAACCAAACCCAGGCCCCCAAAGTGAAGCATGCTGAACTTAACCACTAGGCTGCTGGGCTGGCCCTGGATCATGTTTTTTTAATCCAGTCTGCCAATCTCTGCCTTTTATTGGAGACTTTAATCCATTTACATTTAAAGCAATTACTGATAAGGAAGGACTTAACTTCTGCCACTTGGCTCTTTGTTTTCTGTGCTGACATTAATGGAAAAACTAGTGAAATCCAAATGAAGTCTGGGATTTAGTTAATAGTAATATACCAGTGTTGGCTTCCTAGTTTTGACAAATGTACCACAATAATATTAGATGTTAACATTAAAGGAAACTGTATTAGGGCTATATGGGAACTCTGTATTACTTTTTGCAACTTTTCTGTGAATCTAAAATTGTTCCAAAATAAAAATTGTATTAAAAGTAATTATTATATGGGTGGGCCCAGAGGTTAAGTTTACACACTCTTTCAGCAGCCCAGAGTTTGCAGGTTCAGGTCCCGAGCACAGACCTACATACTGCTCATCAAGCCACGCTGTGGCAGCATCCCATATACAAAATAGAGGAAGATTGGCACAGATGTCAGCTCAGGGACAATCGTCCTCACACACACACACACGCAAAGATTATGATATGTAAAAGTTTAGTCACACTAACATCCCTGCTTTTAAAAATCTTACAAGCTACTAGAGTAAATTTCTAATTTACATAAATATATATGCTGTTAGTTATAAGAAGATATTTTTAGTAATACTAATATCTCCAAAAAATTGTGTTTTTCTAACTTCTTTTAAAACTCCTAATACACTACTGTTTATTGGCAGTCTTATCAGCTGTTATTCTAATTTTAGAGACTGATTGCATCATTTTAATTGTTTTTTCCATATTCAACTAATCAAATGAAAGACTGGATCTGACATGAACATGTATAAATTACTACAAGAAAATCTCTTTTCTGAATCAATCCTGTATTATAGGATTAATGAATGGCTATGTGCCTTAACACCAAAGATGGAAAATTACAATAATTATGAAATTTTATCATATATTTATGAAATATTTTGCCTCTACCATATTATCTCATGTTAAGTATCAATGGAAGAAATCCCTTTTATTTGTGTTCTAGCAAATTACAAATCTTTAAATGTTGTGTATCATTTGAACTCAAAAGAGAAGTAGATAACTAGTGAATTGGCAAAGTGGAAACCAAACCAGAATAAAGGAAGACCAGCACAACACTACCTCTGAGGCTATTTGGGGTTCAGGACCCAATTCCAGCATGTGAAGGGGGGAGTTTTCCTCCCACATCACCAAGCAATGCTTGGGGCACCAGCTGGGTGTCCCACAATTTGACTCAATGATGACACTATCTACCCAGAGAGAGCATTAGATACCATGGGATAAGACTGCAAGACTGCCTCTCTTCAGAAGCCAACTGCAAGCCGAGGTTGTCACCTGTGCTTCTGACCAACTAGCTATAAATCAGAGGTTCCCATGACCCCCTCCTTGGGTTCTATTAATTTGCTAGAGTGGCTCACAGGACTCAGGAAATCTGTTTACTCGGTAGATTATCAGTTTATTACAAAGGATACTGAAATAGCACATAAAACGTTAAACCAGTTTTGCTTCCTTAAAGCAGATTATTGATTAATCAAACCTTGCTCAATAACAGAGACGGCACTGTGCATGTGCCAGGTGGAAACCCATAGCCCAAAGATGTCCCCAGAACCAAGAATCTTCAGAAATATTGCTACTGGAGCCCTTTATGAAGCAAGAAGCCCTTCACTAAAGAAAATCCGGCTTTCAGCAGCCCAAATAGCTTCATTACCATATTTTCACTGATTCAAGACCAGCCAATAAGCTTATACCTCTAACTCCTTAAATTTCACCCCATACCCTGGATCAGGGAGACAGACTTGAGAACCTTACCTGCTGTCTCCTTATGGGTTGACCCCACAATAAGGTTTTCTTCTTCTCTCAAAAACTGGTGCCATTGTATCAGCTTCTGCGCACATTGGACAGTGAACCCTTGCTTGGTAACCACACGAATCAACAGCCAGATGAAGAGATACATAGGGCAAGATCCCAAACAAAGGAGCTTCTGTCCTGTGGAGTTTGGGGTGTGGCATAGTGGCCTGTGGGAGCATTCTGGTCCCCAACCTGGAAGCTCCCTGAACCCTGTCCTTTGAGTTTTTATGGAAGCTTTGTTACATAGGCATGATTTATTAAATCTTCAGCCAATGGCGATTGATCCAACCTTCAGCCCTCTCCCCTCCCTGAAGGTCAGGAGATGGGACCGAAACTTCCAACTCTTTAATCTCGTGGTTCTGCTGGCAACCAGCTCCCATCCTTAGGTGCTTTCCAAATGTCAACTGATTAACATAAACTCAGTTGCTGTGGAAAGGAGCTTGTTACCAATAAAGACACTTATCTCACCTTTATGGCTCTGAAGCAATTTCAGGAACTGAGGACAAGAGACCAAGTATTGTAACAAAAGATGCTCTTATTGCTCTGATAGCTCAGGAAATTCCAAGGATTTTGGGACTGTGCGCCAGGAACAACGGACAAAGATTAAATACATGAGAAATATATTTTGATCATCTGAATGACCAAATGTACATTTCTTGTATTGCACTGGCAATTAGACCTTAAGCATAATATATTTCAAAAAAGAACAGAAAAGAAAAGAAAAAGGACGACTCTAAAAGCCTCAGATCAGTAAGATTCATTCATTCATTCATTCGGAAGTGTTTACTAAGAACCTACTCTGTGTCAATTGCTATTTGGGACATGATGGACTTACTTCTGAGCAAAAAGACTCTGGTTCTCTGGTCCCCTGGTCCCCCGTGGTATCATGGAGCTTACCAACTGATGGGGAAAATGTACTCAAACGGGGAGCTGGTGCAAAGAATGATGCAAAATAAATAGTGATAAACAAATGGCAAACAATACGATATATTAGAATATATGAGGAAGCCATTTGGTGTAAAACTAACTCAGCCTGACCTTGTTTTTCCAAAAGGGCCTGATGTGGCTGTTGAGCATGCATTGCTTTAAGCATTTCCTATGTCCCAAAGATAAGAACAAATGCCCTTAAGATAAAGATGCAACTTATCCCCCCACCGTTGGCATTTCCTTAGGGATGAGCATCTCTCCCTAGGCTAGGAACTGATTGCTGTGCTCACCCTGTGACCACCCAGCTTGAGACAGCAGACCTGCTACCTGCTGTGTCCATCAAGACAGCAGACCTGCTACCTGCTGTGTGAATCACTGTGCCAACTAGGCAATCTTGTGACTGTTGTAAAAAGGACAATCCTGTCATATGTGATGTACACTTTGTTCCAATATATAACCACTCTGTACACCCTACTTCTTTGGTGCCCTTCATTCCTTGGGGGAAGGAAGGCCCTGGGCTAGTCCTCAGATCTGGCTCGTATTAAACTCACCCCAATTTTGATTTATAGATTGATTATGGATTATTTGCATCAACAATAGCCATCATCTTGAAGATGTGTGTATTTATATATATGCGTGAGTCTTTTTAAATAAAGAGGGTTTAAGTGGGGAATTTTGCTGATGTCACATCTTCTCCTTCAGTGCAAATGCATACAGCCTGCCTGTTTCACAGACCTTAGGAGCAATGGATAATAATCATGCTCTGTTAACCTCACTTTTCCCAGAGAAAAATAAAACGACTTCAGAATAGTGTCAGCAGGGGTCTCAGTTCATATTAAGGACTTTTATCTTTTTGGGGGCACAGTATGGTCCCATTTTTAAAAAAAATATTATATAAATGTAGATGTTTCCATATATAGTTTTTAAATATACACAAGGGTGTCTGGGAAAGGAGAGGACTATTTCATTCTTTACTTTCTATTATTCTGGATTGCTGGATTTTATTATAGGGACACATGTTGCTTTTGCAACAGTATCAAGTAAAGTGCATGTAGAGCAATCTTCTGGGCTGAGCTTGGAGTGGAAGGCGAGAGGCTAAAATGTGCAGAATTATAAGAGGATGAAAACATTCTGTTGCAAGACAGCAAACAGAGCTCATGGCGAGGCCTTCACATCCAAATCCCCAGACACAGAAATAGTATTTTAAAAACATAAATTCTTAGTCTCACTGGAAAACAGGAAGAGAATCTTTGATGGGTCAGAAAAACTCTTAGTACCAACTAAAAAATGGAAAGCTGGGATTAACAAAGAAGTACACCGCTGATCAATACTTCCACGGAAGAATCCTGCTACAAAAGGAACTTCTCCAAAAAAGCCCTGGGGCTGCGTGAGGATACAGCGGTACAGGAGCGGGACCGGCTCTCAGGCAACCCACCACAGGATGACAAATCCCCGGCAGGAGCAGACAGGAAGATCGGCTCTTCAGCAGAGCGCTGCCGGCCCAGCAACTGGGTGGCAAAACTTGACACTATTCATTTGGATACTTTGAGCATCCTACACTAAAGTAAGTGACCAGCACAACTTGGCAAGGTGCATCTAGTATTTTAAAGATGTGTGTAGGGTAATGAAAACTCTACTTTTCCACTCAAGTTAAATTATTTATATCTTGTGTTTATTTTGGGAAGTGCAGTAAAAATGGCCTAAGGTATAGATAAGTTCTCAAATATCTAATTAAAAACTGGAGCAACAACAGAAAGCTGGGCCTCAGGACTTTGGTGAACACGGACCGTACACACACTGTCCCAGTCCCGGTGTGACCTGGTGTGGATCTGATGGTTTGTGGGTGTGACCCTGATAAAGCCAAGAGTGTCTGGCAGTAGTCTGAGTGGCATCAGGGTGGATCGCCACGTCAGATGTGATGTGATGAAGTCTTAAGGTGAGCTCTTCTGCTGCTGGACCGCTGATACAGTCAATGCGGTACCCTGCGCTGACCCTGGTCGCCGGCCAGCGTTGTCCTCAGTCTGAAAGCCAGTCCCTTCCTCTTCCCAGGTCTTCCAGCCTCCTCGGGCTCATGATCCTCCCTTTCACTCCTTGCCCCGTGTCCCTCGCGTTGGGCGCTGTTCCATCACTGGGGAACGCGGGGAGATTTCGCCCCATCTCCTGGAAATGACCTTCTAGTGGAAACCGAGAATGAACGAATACAGCTAATTACAGATGCTGGCTAGCGCTGTGAAGGAAATAAAGAGGGCGCTGTGGTAGAAACTAACAGACAGGCCCCCTTAGGGTGTACGAGGTGTCACGTGACTCTCCTCTACCCGGCCAGGTGCCCTGGTGGTTCACCTCCGGTGATCCTCGTTCCAGGCCCTCCTGTCGCGGTGCCCTGCGCTCCTCGGCTCCTGGCCCGGTCCTCCCGGGCCCAGGAGTGGCGCCCTACCTCCTCAGTCCCAGCCCTGTTCTTCGGGTCCAGTCCTGCCCCCTGAGACCCAGCCTGGTCCTCACCCCACTAGCCTGGGCCGCAACCCCGTCCCGCCTTTGTTCTTCCTGCCCCGCCCAGGCGTGGCGAGCGCTTCCGCCAACTGCGCGCCGCCCGGCGGCGGCCTGGGGATGCGGACTCCTGGGGCGCCGAGGGGCGGGCTGCTGCCGGGCCGGGCCGACGCACAGCGGGTGCCAGGGCCGCAGCTGGAGGAAGGGGCGCCTCGAGAATGGAGGGCAGTCGAGGGACCCGGGCACCGCGGACCCGGGCGAAGCGCCCCCGCAGCTCCCGCATTCTCTAATCATTTGCTCCCAGGCGGGAGCCGAGCTGGGGTGGGCCTAGGATCCCGCCCCTCCGCAGCAGGGGCTAGCCTCTCGGAGGCCGAGTGGTGCCTGTAGTTTTCAGAGGTTCTGAGCCCTGGTACCTCAGTCCACCTCCGCTCTCATCCCTGACCCGAGCCCTTCCGGAACCTGTCTCCCCTCCCTATTCCCGGAGCCCGGTGCCCAGCCCTACGTGACTCACCCCGTCCTCTGCCCTCTGACTCAGCTTGGGGCTTGCTCTGATCGCCAAGCACAGCCCCCTCGTACCCTCCCTCCCCTACCCCCAGCCCGCGGAGGTTGCACGTTCTGATCCCTCAGCCCTGGCAGGGGAGGCGCGGGTGGGGCTCTCACAGCACCATTGGCCCCTCCCAAGCCACCAGGCAACGTCAGCTTCCAGCCTCCTTTCCTGGTCATTGCAGGCCCATGACTGGAGAATTTTAGCATCTGGCTCAGCTTCCTCACCATCCATCCCTCTACCAGCATCCATCCTCTGCAGCCTTCACTGTCCTCAAGAAGACCTGTCAGACGTTAGGGGCTGAAAAAAATTTCCCTTCTAGGTCCTCTGGCTGATAGAATAATTAAATTGACATAAGACAGATTAACAGGAGAAAAACAAATTTAATTTTGTATGTATGGAAGCCCCATAAAAATGTGAGACCCAAGGGCAAGTTGGGAGATTGAGGTTTACAGGCCATCCTGAACCAGGGAATGGGATAGGGGTCTGAGGAGAAGGTAATTCACTGGCAGATGAGAAGAGCAGACGTTTGATAATTAGGAGTTTGCCTTGCCATGCAAATACATCTTTAAGATAAAAAAATGTTCTCTCTGGTAATTGCTCTCTTTCTGAGCCAGTCTCCTTATCTAAATTCTTTTAGGCAGTTAAGAGAAGGGTAAAAGTTCTTCCTGAATCTGCCGGGTCCTGATTTTTTTTTCAGCTCAAGAAAATCTGGATGCCAAAGTGGCCCGTTTTGGGGTGGCATCTTCTGTTCCCCTTCAAGATCCTAAACCCACTCACTTCTAAGGATCGTCACTGCTGCTCAGTCATGGCCACCCACTCCTGGCCCACATGGACTTATCCTTGCTGTAAACCGCTCCTTGTTGAAACTCTCCTCTTTTGTTTGTCATTAACAACACTCTTTCCAGATTCTTTTCATGCCTCCCTGGGTTCTCCTTGTCTTTTCCTGCCTCTTTTATCCTCTATTCGCCCTTACGTATTGGCATTCCTGGGGGTCCATGTCTTCCCTGCAAACCTTCCCAGCCCATGACCTGCATCCATTTGATGATGACCCCCCCACTGACATCTGGTGACTAGGCCTCTCACCTGAGCCTTCCAGGAAGGAACTTCAACCTTAGTGTATCAAAAACAAAATTCACTTTCTCCTCCAAATTCATTTGCGTTCCTGTTTTCCCAATCTTGCTTTGTGTCAGGTCATTCACCCACTGGTCCAAGTCAGTCATCTGAGTCATGCTAGATTCCACCTTCCTCACCCACCCATCCAACAACCCCTAGGTCCTATCCTTCTTAAACAGCTCTTCCTTCCATGCCCTCCACCCCTACTGCCCCTGCCCTCGTTCACAGTTTGGTGTCTTTTGTTTGAAGTATTGCAGCACTGGTTTCCCTGCCTTCTGTCTGGCTCCCATCCCATTTGTCTGCATTGCTGGAGAGCAATCTTCCCAATACATCCCTCTGATTATGTGACCACATAGCTCAGAGTTCTTCAGAGACTCTGCCACCATTGCCACTACCTATGCTTATGCCCAAACTGCCTGTGCTCTGGGCTCCAGAAGCCAACTCCCAACTGGCCCCAGCTGCCACTCTCATCTGGATCCAATCCATCCTAAATGCTGATGCTAGAGTCAGGAAGGAAGGAGGCGGGGAGAGAAGGGAGAAGGAGAGAGTGGGAGGGAAAGGAAGGAAAGAATGAGTGGATGATGAATCATGTCACTTCTCTAGAATCCGGTACTGATTTGCCATGGCCTGACCAACAAAACCCAAATTCCTTGGAACGGCATAAGGCCTCTTTCCCAATCCAGCCCCACCCTACCCATTCACTCCTACTCAGTCTCACCATGGCCACTTCCCAACTTGCCCCCTCTACCCCACACTCAAAATACGCTATGCTTTGCCCACTGCAAGCCCTTTAGATCTTCAGCCATGAGGCTAGAGATGTGTTTGCCAGGGGTCTTTATTACAGATTGCCAGCTCCCTCTTCCCCTCTGTACATCAGCGGCTATAAGGAGGGGGAAGAAGTCCTGTGAGCATTTCCAGTGATGCTCCATCAGTCTGATGTTTCATGTTTGTTTATAAACAATTGAAACCCCAGGTCTTTGTCACATGAACTGTGATCAGAGTAGCTGTGTTCGACTCATCCCATTTATTTTTAAATATCTGATTACTTTTGGTTTTGATTCTGTTTTTCATCATAAACCTGAAAGGATATTAAGTTATGAAGATGTGATAAGCACGCATCCAAAAACTTTACGCTAAGATAAAACTCTCTAGGTGGACGCTGAGCCTAGAACTATTAACCTACATAATTTGGAAACATCTTCCACCCAATGTAAGTCCAGGGAGGATGGCAGAGAATACAAGTCTACAGAACCCCTTCTGGGTCTCCCTGCCAAGTAAATCTTTTTTTTTAAAGACTGACACCTGGGCTAACATCTGTTGCCAATCTTTTTTTTTTTCTTCTTCTTCTCCCCAAAGCCCCCCAGTACATAGTTGTATATTCTAGTTGTGAGTGCCTCTGGTTGTGCCATGAGGGACACCACCTCAGCATGGCCTGATGAGCGGTGCCATGTCCACGCCCAGGATCCGAACCGGCAAAACTCTGGGCCACTGAAGCAGAGCGCGAACTTAACCACTCGGCCACAGGGCTGGCTCCCCAGAGTAAACCTATTTTTCAAAAAAGCCAATGAGGTTAGGAATGACTTGTTCTTTTGCGAAGCCATGATAGCCTCTTATGCTCACCTTTTTATCCTGTAAGTATTGACGACACAACTGGTTAAGTAATTTACTCTTTTGAAGATAATAGCCAATGCAGTCAAACAAGAGAAAACAGAGACGTGAAAATTGGTGAAAGAAGTACAAATATTTCTATTTGCAGGTGATATAATAGGGTTGCAGGACTCAAAAGAATCAATGAAAAAAAAATAATACCAAGAGTAAGAAAATTCAGGAAGGCAGAAGGTTATAAATTTAACACATAAAAACAATTAATTTTCTCATATACAAACAAAAGCCAGTTGTAAAATATAAGGGAAGAAAAGCGCTTATATATACTATCAAAAGAAAGATAAAATAACTAGGAACAAATTACACAAGGATTGTGCAAATATTATATGACGAAAACTTTAAAACACTCTTGAAAAAGAAAAAAATACTTGAGCAAATAGAAAGATCTAGCATGTTCTCGGATAGGACAACAAATCAATATAGACATATTAATTCACCACAAGGTAAACTGAATATGATTCTAACAAATATATTAAGGTTTTTGGGTTTTTTAGAGATGACAAATTGTTTCTCAAGTTTATTTGGGAAAATAAGCAAGGTAGCCAGGAAAACCCTGAAACAGAAGAGCAGTGAGCGGGACTAGCCCTGTCAGATAGGAAACCATATCATAACAAGACCTCTGTAATTGAAAGAGGGTGACCAATGGAACTGAATATAAGTTCAGAAACAGACCCAGATATATGTGGCTATTTGGTATGTAATAAAGGTGGCCTGTCAGATCGTTAGTGAAAATATGGACTTTTTAACAAATGGAGTTGGAAAACAACTGGAAAGTCATTTGAGAAAGAGTTAAAATTAGATCTATATTCCTATATATCAGAATAAACTCTAAATGGATCAGCAATCCAAACGTAAAAAACGAAATCATAAAATACTGGAAGAAAATATTGGTGAGTGTATGATCTGCAGAAAAACTTTCTAATTGTGACTCAAAAATCTGGAAGCAAGAAAAGAAAAAATCATTAAACTTGATTACATAAAAAATATGCCAAAATCACCCAAAGCAATGTCAGAAAACAGATGCAAAGCTGGGAAAAAATATTTGCGACCTATCACAAAGAACTAATGCTAATATATAAAGAGCACTTAAGAACCAAGAAGAAAAAGACCAAACAATTTTTTTAAATGAACAAAAGTCATAAACTGCTCACAGGGGGGAAAATAAAACTGAAAAGAGGCAATGGATTTTAAACATATGGAAAGATGTTCAGCCTCACTCATGATAAAGGAAATGCTAATTAAAACTACACGAGAGAACATTTGTCACCTATCAGATTGGTAAACATCCGAAGATGTCCGAGCATCACTGTTAGTAAGGCTGTGAAGAAGCTTCAGATACAGCTGGTGAGAGGACAAAATGGTACTGTTCCTCTCCCCATATGGAGAGGAATCTGACAATAACTAACAAAATATATGTGTATTTACCTAGCAACCCCATTTCTAGGAATCTAGGAATCTGGATTAGTGGATATTTCTTTATTAATACAAAACAATATTCACACCAAGTTCTTGCTACTGAAAGTGTGGTATATGGACTAGCAGCATGAGCTACCTGGGAGCTTATTAGAAATGCTGAATCTTGGGACCAGCTGACTCAGAATCTGCCATTTCACAATACCTCCAGATTCTTTGTATGTGCATTAAGTTTTGGAGAAGCACAGCACTAGATTATTCATAGCAGCAGTAATTGTAATGACATATTGGAAACAACACAAATGGCCTTCAGTGGAATACAGTGCAGCCATGATACAGAATAAGGATGATCTGGAATACAATGCAGCCATGAAAAAAAGTAGGATGATCTCTATGTACCAAATTAGAGAGATCTCCAAAATGCATTAAGTGAAAAAAGCAAGTTGCAGAACTATCAATAGGTGATAGATAGAATGCTACCCTTTTGATAAGTAAGCAGTGGAATTAGAAGGTATATATTCATGTTGCTTATTTTTGCAAAAAGGTAAGCTGGAAGAATAAACCTGAGGCTAATAAAATCAGCTGAAAAGGAATGAAGAGGACAAGGGTGGAAGTGAGAGAACTCTGAGTCTTCCTCCAAAAACAAAATGAAAACAGTCACAGCTGGGGAAGAAAGGCATGGTTTGCTACTGGCATCTAGAGGGTAGAGGGGCCTGGGAGGCTGTTGTCAACCTTAAAAATAAAACAGCCTTTTTTTTCTTTTTTAACCAGCAAAATGAGTTTACTCGGGAATAGCCAAAGAATTGAAATTTGAGATGTGCGTGCTATGGCTGACCACAGGCAAATCAAATAATCAAAGGAGAGGAACTTATCTTATGGGGTAAAAGAGGAAATTAGAAGGGAAGTCCATTGGAGAAAAGTAAGAGTTCTGGTTAGTGATGCTTTCTCATTGGATGAGTTGCTAGGATAGTCATTTCTGTTTGGGATGCTACGTACGTTTCTTCTTGTAATTGAGGATTCTTTCCTATTGAGGACTTCTGTTGGGGTCTGTAATTAACTATCTTTCCTGTAATTGACCTGGAGTGGTACTGTGTGGGACCCCCTTCTGGCCTCTTGACGCCTTTTTTTTTTTGAGGAAGATTAGCCCTGCGCTAACATCTGCTGCCAATCCTCCTCTTTTTGCTGAGCAAGACTGGCCCTGAGCTAAGATCCATGCCCATCTTCCTCTACTTTATATGTGGGACGCCTACCACAGCATGGCTTGCCAAGTGGTGCCAAGTCCACACCCGGGTTCCGAACCAGCAAACCCCAGGCTGCCGAAGCAGAAGTGTGCACTTAACTGCTGTACCACCGGGCCAGCTCCTTGACTCTATTTTTAATGAAGTTTCTCTTAATTTTCATATTGTTAAACATCTTATAGTGAAAGGAGAGCCGTCCTACGACAAAGAATTACCCAGCTCAGACGCCAATAGCGTTCAGGCTGAGAACGCCTGACTTAGGGTCAGGACAGAGGAGGCAGTAAACAGTTTGAGGTTTCTAAAACTGAACTTCTCGTTTTTAAAAACTGGCTAGCATTTTCCCCACCTCCAGTCACCTGCGCCCTTTGTGTTCTCCGACAGGAGATGGCAGGCAGGGATTCCAGAGGCATTTGCGTAATTTGCCCGTACTCTGGAGTGTAATTCACATGGGCCAGAAGAGTACTGGAGTCTTTGAACACGCAAGTGCTTTGTCCATTTTAAATTCCTGTTTTGCGCTGTCCAACTCGAGCTCATATACCACGAGGTGGCACTTTTCTGGTCTTGAGAACATAATTCACAGTCTCTACAAAGACAGTAACACGCTGGTCGGGTCGCGCACTGTCGCCCCCGGCTTGAAAACCTCCATAGGGTCAGGCTTCCCCCTGATTCACCAACCTGGTGGTTCAGTGGACGAGGTGAGTGCAACTAGCACCAGAAAGGACGCGCGGCCCCTCCCGCAGGGGGAGCTGGTCCGGGCTCCGGGCTGCTGGGTGGCGGTCAAGGTGCAGCGGAGTACCCAGCGCACACCTGGTAACCTTTCTTCTCCGCCCTCCTCCCTGTCCCCACTGCGCAGGGCCGCCCCGGGCTCTGGGGCGAGCGGGGCGCTGGTTGGTTTCCCTGGACTCGGCCCGCCTCCCGGGCCGGCCGGTATTTGAGGCCTGCAGCGGCTCCGACGCCTCCTGCCCGCTGCTCCGCTCGCTCCCGGCCGCGGCGTCCACACTGTGGGGTACGCGTCTCCTGTGGGATCCGCTCCGGCCGCGGGGATCGCTCAGCCGCTCCACCGGCTGGAGAGCGCCTAGGGGCGCGCGGCCGGGAGGGTGTAGGCGCGCGGTGCCGGAGGCGCGCGGCGGGTGGGCGTGGGCGCGCGGAGCCGGGGGCGGGCGGGGCCGGGGGCGCGCGGAGGGCGGGCGTGGGCGCGCGGGGCCGGCGGCGCGCGGAGGGGCTGGCGTGGCCGCGCGGGGCCGTGACCCCTGCGCTCCGGGCGGGGCGGGAACTGGGGCAGGAGTTGGGGTGGCGCGGGTTCCGCTCGGGTTCCCTGCAGGAGTGCACGGCCGGCTGCAGATGTGACGACGCCTGGTGAGTTGTACACGGCCGCTGGGCCCAGCCGGTGACACGGCACATCGTCCGCACTGGGGATGTGCAGCCCCGCGCCGGCATGGGGGCGGCGCCGAGCCTTCCAGGCTGCTGCTCCCGGCCCCTGTGCCACAGGTGACCCCCGCTGCCTCAGGTGACCCGGCCCGCCGCGGGCCTTGAGGCCGCAGGCGCGCGCCCTGGACGCCGGGCGTTGGGTGGGCTGGAGGCCGGAGCGAAGCCCAGGGGTCAACGCCAAAGGTGGCGCCTTTGCACTGAACGTGCAGCTTGGTCTTCCTGCCCATTGGGTGTGGCTTGCCTCTGGAAGCGGCAAAGGTTCAAGGTTGCTCAGACCTGCAGGGATGATCGTGAGGACCTTCCTAGATCTTATTACTTCTCTGTTGTTTTTTAACTCACTCGGGGAAACTATTACAAGATTTGGTGTCTTCCGTGCTAAGAGGACATGGGGAAGATTTTTAATCATACTTGGGGTTTGCATGCTAGATGAAATTGGCACTTGTTACTTTCTTCTCTTTTCCCCCCCATAAAGCTCAGTTTTGGAAAAAGAGAAATGTGGAAAGTTAATAGTCACATGATGCTGGGAATACTCAGATGCTAGGGGGAAGCTGGGTCCTCTTGGCACTTTTGCCTCTGGGGCCTGGTTG